CATTTTTTAAAGATTTGGTGAATTACATTTAATAAATATTAAGCTTGTCTCATCCTCAGGATACTATGCTAGACAGGGATTATCAGCTTTGGTGCCATTGGCATTTGAGGCTGGATCATTTGTTGTGAGGGGCTGTCCTGTGTATTAGGGTGTTTAGCAGCCTCTCTGGCCTCCACCCTTAGTTGCCAGCAGCAATCCCCAGTTGTGGCCACCAAATTTGTCTCCATACATTGTCACATGCCCGGTGGAGATGAAATCGCTCCCTTTTGAGGACCATGGTGCTAGAAGATCGCCCCACATTTATTTGAATTGCTTGTTTGATTTCCTGTGAAAGTATATCATGGTAGATTAAATGTTTGAAGTGTTGCTCACTGTTGGTATTATGAGCGAAGTAGTACTGGTGGAATTTTTCCGTGTGCCGGACACCATGTCCGCCCACTGTCTGTGCATCATCTCATTTCATCCTCATAGCACAACACTGAGTTAAAACAGCGCTGTGTTAGGAGAATGTATTAATGAGATGAGGTAGTCTCATAAACCCCCTTTACAGAGGAGAAAATGAGGCTTAGAGGTTATTTTAGCTGAGATCTCCCTAAGAGCAAACCTGAGACATAGTCTAGAGAGTGAGTGGTTGATTGGGAGGTGATTTCAGGAAGCAGAATAACAGAGAAAGGAGAATGAAACAGGGAAGCAAGAACAGCTAATCAAGGAGTTGATGTTGGGTTGAGAGCTACCTCAGGGCCACCAGGGTACTGTATATCTGAGGAGCAGTGAAAAATGCATCTCAGAATTACTTCCTTCTCCCACTCCCTGTGAGGGTTGAAGGGGAGAAAGCTGGAACTTTTTCATCAACTCCTATCTTCCCCAGGGGCATTAACCCCCTTTCCCTTTACCAATAAAAGTAGTGAGCAGTATACGCAAAGATCCAGCTTTTGAGGAGCTTAAAGTCTTGAGGAGAAAGCAGTGAATTAGTAAGCAGCATATCAGATAGCAATGCATGCTCTGAGGTTGTGTGACAGGAGTGCTTGTGGAACTGCTTAGCTGGGGCGGCCAGGATGAGGGATGAGCTGAGACCCCAATGGCAAGGGGAAGCCAGTCATACAAAGATCTAGGGTAAAAGCAATCTGGGCTGAGGGACCGCATGGTGCAAAGGCCCCAAGACAGGAATGTGCTTTCTTTGAGGAACAATTAGAAGGCTAGTGCGGTGGAAGGCTGAGAGGAAGGGGGTGTGTGGTGAAGGCTTGGGTCAAAAGGTTGGGAAGGGACAGTCAGGTCTTGGGTAAGAAACTGATATTTTATTGTGGCTTCTGCTTCCTACACGAAGGGTTTTAAGCAGGGTTCAAGTGATCTACTTATGATTTATTTTAATTTATTTTGAGACAGAGTTTCACTCTTATTGCCCAGGCTCTAGTGCAATGGCATGATCTTGGCTCACGCAACCTCCGCCTCCCCAGTTCAAGCGATTCTTCTGCCTTAGCCTCCCACGTAGCTGGGATTACAGGCATATGCCACCACAACCAGCTAATTTTGTATTTTTAGTAGAGACAATGTTTCACCATGTTGGCCAGGCTAGCCTTGAACTCTTGACCTTAGGTGATCCACCCACCTCAGCCTCCCAGAGTGGTGGGATTTCAGATGTGAGCCACCGTGCGTGGCCAACTTACGATTTTAAAAAGAGCACTCTGGCTGCTGTAGAGAAAGGAGTGTGGCAGGGGAAGCACGGAAGACAGGAACCAGTTAGGAAGGAGGCTGTCCTAGCTCCCATGGGGCCAGCTGCATATTTTGTGGGGCCTCTTGTTCAAAAAGTAGGGGGAAGAGTACTATTAAAGGTGCTAAACTATAAAATGTTTGTTTCACAGTCCATCAACTTGTCATGGTATTTTTTGTTTGTTTTATTGTTTAATGTCATTCTAAGTAAAGAAAAATTAAAGCTTAAAATTATTAGCATGAATTTTACCATTCATCTGTATATTGTGCAATACTGGTTTTAAATGCAAAATAAGAACATTTTTAGGGATAAAAGACTTTTTAAAAATGAACAAAAATCAATAAATTTAAAAAATTAGTTCATATCCAGAATCCCTGAAATCACCCAACCCCTCTTTCATAGTCTGTGCATGCATATGTACTTTGTTCTTACCAGAACTGTGGAAATGTGGCACAAATCAAGCTCAACTGTTTTATTTCACTTCTTGTTTCATGCCCATTCTACCATCACTCTCCCCCTTCAGCTTCCTGATAGGTAAGAGATGGGCAAGGAGAAGGAGCTCTGGGTTGCCCTATGGTTCCCTTTCCTTCCCTCGTCATTTTCAGCATCGGTAGTTGGTTAACACAGGGAAGTAACACAAATAAGAGAGGATATTACAGGATTCCTTGGTCATTTAGGTTTCTCAGAACACCATTGCCTTTTTTTTATGGATAGAGACAGAAGAGAAATCAAGGATAACTCACTTCTAGGCTTATTACTTAGGAAAATGGAAAAGACTATAGGAGAGATAATTTTTGAAGTCAGGGAAATACAGAGTTGAGAAGTTTGGATTTACCTCGGTTTAAGAACCAGGGAGCAGTAGAGCCAGGATTTTAGCCCAGGCAGCCTGACTTCAGAGTCAGTGCCTTTAACCACTGCCCTGTTCTGTCATGTGGGAGGCACACTGATGGGTGCCTGATGATTGTTGTGATGGCTCTGCATCTTATTATTCTCTGACCACTCCAGCTGTGTGCAGTGAGCATCTGTGCAGAGGCATGCTCAAATTTAAGCACAGTTTTCTATTTAAACCTAGTTCACAAAATATTCCTTTAACTTGCACCCTTCTCTTTTGCATCTCAATTATATTTGTTTTTGTAGAAAGGATGTCTTTATACAGCTTTGCTCATTCACATGAAAAGGAAAGTGTGTTTTCAGTTGGAGAATATGGAGTCCAAAAATCTGAAGTTGAGTTTGGTATCTCTCAATTGCCAGCTGTGTGTCCTTGGGCTAATTAATTGCTTTGATCTTTGGTTTCTTCATCTATAAAGTGGAGATGATTGTGTGTGTGTGTGTGTGTGTATTTCTGTATGTGCATATATATGTATATATATATGTATGTATATATTCTCCCACATGACAGAACAGGGCAGTATGTATATATATGTATATATATGCACATACGGAAATACATACACATATGTGTGTGTGTGTATATATACATATATATATGTATGCACATGCCCTCACCGTATACTGGGCTATTGTGAAGATTAAATGAGGTTATAGAGGAAATGGAGCAATTGTCAACAAGGCTTGAGTTGGATACCCACTGGCAGTCATTCCCTATTTCTCCCTACCCTCCACCCCTGGCAACCACTAATCTACTATTTCTCTCTATGGATTTGCCTATTCTGGACATTTCATTTTATTGGTATCATACAATATATGCCCTTTGGTGTCTGGCTTCTTTCACTTAGGATAATGTTTTCAAGGTTTATTCATATAGTAGCATGTATTAGTGATACATTCTGTTTTATAGCTGAATAACATTATCGGAATATGCCACATTTTGTTAATCTGTTCACTAGTTGATGGACATTTGGGCTCTTTCCACTTTTTGGTGATTGCAAATAATGCGACTTTGAACATTCATGAACGTACTTTTGTGTGGACATATTGTTATTTGTTCTCTAGAGTGTATTCGTAGGAGTAGAATTGCTGGGTTATTTGGCAACTCTGTGTTAACTTTTTGAGGAATCACCAGATTGCTTTCCAAAAGTATTGGTAGCATTTTGCACTCCCACTGGCAGTGTATGAAGGTTCTAATTTCTCTACATCCTCACCAACACTTGTCGTTATTGTCATTTTTATCATAGCTATTCTAGAGTATGAAGTGGTATCTCATTGTGGTTTTGATTTGTATTTCCCTGATGGCTGATCATGTTAAAATCTTTTCATGTGCTTATCAGCCATCTGAATACACTCTACAGAAATATCTGTCCAAATTGTTTCCCCATTAAAAAATTGGGGTTCTCTCTTTTTTTAATTGTTGAATTGTAAGAGTTCTTTATATATATATTCTGAATACTAGAACCTTATCAGATACAGAATTTGCAAATATTTTCTCCCATTCTGTGGGCTGTTTTTTCACTTTCTTGGTTGTGTCTTTTTGAAGAACAAAAGGTGAAAAATTGATGATGATGGTCAGTTCTTTCCTTCCTTCCTTCCTTCCTTCCTTCCTTCCTTCCTTCCTTCCTCCCTCCCTCCCTCCCTCCCTCCTTTCTCTCTCTCTCTCTCTCTCTCTCTCTCTCTCTCTCTCTCTCTCTCTCTCTCTCTCTCTCTCTCTTCTCTTTTGAGACGGAGTTTCGCTCTTGTTACCCAGGCTGCAGTGCAATGGCACGATCTCGGCTCACTGCAACCTCCGCCTCCTGGGTTCAGACAATTCTCCTGCCTCAGCCTCCTGAGTAGCTGGGATTACAGGCACGCGCCACCATGCCCAGCTAATTTTTTGTATTTTTAGTAGAGATGGGGTTTCACCATGTTGACCAGGATGGTCTCAATCTCTTGACCTCGTGATCCACCCGCCTCGGCCTCCCAAAGTGCTTGGATTACAGGTGTGAGCCACCGCGCCCGCCCTCTTTTTTTTTTTAGGACAGAGTCTCACTCTGTCACCCAGGTCTGGAGTGCAGTGGCGCGATCTTGGTCACTGCAACTTTCACCTCCCAGGTTCAAGTGATTCTCATGCCTCAGCCTCTTGAGTAGCTGGGAATATAGGTGCCTATCAAAAGATTGGACACCCCTGGATTATCTCTTGCCTGGACACAGGATTCTTGGAATGCAGTCCTGTTTTCTAAAAGTTTATGTACTTATTGTAGGTTGCAGTATGGAAGCCAGATTATTTTACTTTTCTAAGTAAATATCCTGTTCTTGCTGTCTTGAAGCCTAAAAGACCTGTTCTTTCTAGTTGGAGTTTAAAATTTCACCATAAAAATGTCAAGAATGTGTCTTTTATTTCCCTTATAACTGCCTGGCATTTGGTGAGCTCCTTTGATCTGAAAACTCAGTTCTTTCATCACTTCAGAGTTTTCCTGTTTGATTATTGCTTCTGTTCTTTTCTCTTTCTGGAAGTGCTATTTACTTATTAGGCCTCCTCAATCTGTCCTGTATGTCTGTTATATTTTCACCATTGATGGGTATTTCTTCATTATTTTTGCCTTGTGATGTGATAGTTTCCTGCTTCATATTTCAGTTTACTACTTTGTTTTTTTTGTGTGTGAAAGAGCACACTTTGTTGAGAAGTAGACTGCTGCACAGTGACCGACGGACGAAGGCCACCCAGTGGGCACTTACACATCGTACTCCAAAAGACACAGGATGTTTTGCTAATAAAAACCAATGGGAACAGGGATTGCTCTGGGCAACTCCACCAACCTCATCCCTTTCAGGGATGGAGAAATCTCCCATTTTCCTGATGGCAACTGTGGTTCACTAGAGATAGAGCTCCTCGGGGTGCCTTCCTGTTTCTTATAAAAAACATTTTCTTTAGATTTTTTGAAGTCTTCATTTGTTACTTTCCTTCTACGTTCTCTTAAGGCCATCAGACCAGCTTCTGTACAGATTGCCTTCATGTCAGCACTAGAGAGGTCATCTTTAGCCATGATCAAGTCGTCCAGGGTTACATCATCGGCCAGCATCATCCTACATGTGTGAATCTGAAAGATGCGCTTCTTAGTCTTTTCATCAGGCAGGGGAAACTTGATCTTCCTGTCAATGTGGCCTGATCTGATAAGGGCTGGATCCAAAGTTTCTATTCAGTTTGTGGCCATGATAACCTTCCCATCTCCCCTAGAATCAAATTCATCCAACTGGTTCAGCAGTTCCAACATTGTTCACCGAATTTCTCACCACCAGAATTTGAGTCATATCTTTTTGTCCCAATGGCGTCAATTTCATCAATAAACACGATAGATGGTGCATGTTCTTCAGCAACTCGAAACAGTTCCCATACGAGTTTGGGCCTATCACCTAGGTACTTCTGAATAAGTTCAGAGCCAACCACTGTCAAGAAAGTGGCGGAGGTTTGGTTTGCTACTGCTTTGACTAACAAGGTTTTACCTGTGCCAGGTGGACCATAGAGAATGACCCCCTTAGGAGGCTTTATACCCATCTCTTCATAATATTCAGGGTGTGTGAGAGGAAGCTCCACAGATTCCTTAATTTCCTGAATTTGGTTGTCCAAGCCCCCAATATCAGTATATATCTCCTGGGGGGCCTTTTCCACCTTCATCACTGTGACCAGGGGATCCATGTTATCCATCAGCACCCCTATTATGGCATGCACCTTATGGTTGAGCAGGACTGAGCAGCCAGGTTCCAGCAGATCCTTGTCTACAAATGACAGAATGCTAATGTAGTGTTCTCATCGATGATCTCTTCCCCAAGGTTCCTGCTGACATCGGGGTGCCCCTCAGATCATCCACTTTTGATCTTTCCTCCTCTTGTTTTTCTTCTAATGGTTTTATTTGTTCCTGATTTCTAATGAATTTTTCCTCCATGAGAAGATAGTCTTTAATTCTCTCTAACTTTAGTAATTTTAACCAGCACTGAGTGTGAGGTGTCACCAGTGGCAATTTGCTGGCAGCATCTGGTCCCTTTGTTTTCTTCTTTTTCTCCACTCTAGTTGGTGCAGGAGGTTCATATTTCTTTTTCTTGTCCTTGTCATCCTTGCCACCTCCAGGACCATGACCACCACTCTGTCTTTGACCCATCTTGCCTTGGCCACTCAAGCTCTACTTTGTTTTTAATACCAGCCATTCATTTTACTTCCTTTTGGAGCTTAAGCCCTAGATTTCATGTTTCTCATAGGCACCTTCTCCTCCAGTTTTTGTAGTTATCCTCCATGTGTATCCCTTTAAACATTCCTACTGCATTTTTTATTGTTTCTTCCATTAATTTGGCTTTTGTAAAATTTGCCTATCTCTCCATTCTGGCTTCCCTCCTTTGAATTGCTAAGTCCCTTAAATGTCTACAGAGTTTGGTTTCTTAGGTCAAGGAGTGTGTTTTCTCAAGCACCTGCATAGGTGTGGTGGTTGGAGTCTGAGGGGCCATGGTGGATATTGCCAGTAACCCATGGGAGCTGATCTAAAAAATTCTGAGACAGCATCTGGGCCTAGAGAGGGAACAACCGGAAAAAGCAGTCAGCGTCTGAGATGATGCTCAGAGAGAAGCAGATAGACCATCTGCAAGGAAGAGAAGACTTGGTTCCTTATAGCGTGACCTACTGTTTTCTGCTCTTGTCCTTGGTTTCTTACAAACCTTTGTACATCCTCTTATGATACCAGTTATACATTCTTCTCCTCACTCACTCCTATTATACATCTATGTTTTACCTCTTTGAGGTGGCTGCAGTTGATCTCTCTTCCCAGATGAGGCAGCCGTCACATCACTATTGCTGTGGGTTATTCTCAACTCTTCTACAGAGGGCCCAGATGGTAAAGACCCATCTCTTCAACATTCTTTCTATAGTGACTTAGATTTACCTTCCCAAGTATCTCCTTTTTACCAATCTTTTCCAAATATTTTCATTCCTTTATAAATCCGTTTTCTGAAATTCTCTCCCCCTTTACCCCTCTGAAATTTAACTACCTTCTTGGAGCCTTTAGTCTACACAGATTTACCAAAGTGTCTTCTATAATTGGGTCAGGGATATTCATCTGCAGCTAATTTTGCACTTTTCATGTGATACAAGCTTTTGTTTAGGGTTAAATATATAAATATGAATAATGTACTTATCAAACATAAATTCCTTTTTTGAGTGTATATATTTCCTGGATATTTATGGCCATGTTCTCTTTAATAATTCCTGTATTTACCATTCTAATTTACTTATATTGTCTAGTCCAAGGATTATAAACTAGCAGTTGCTTGTTGCATTCTGCCTGGCACTGATGCATTCTGTTAAGAAGAAACAAAGTCGTTGCATTATTTTCATGTAAACTTGCTTTTTGATGGGGCATGCACGCTGCCTCCTAACCCTCTTATACCTGAAACTTTCCACATTTTTGTCAATTCTCCCGTCCTTTAACACATTTGGGTTTTAAGTTTGAGGCCTTAGGCTCAGTATATCATTGTAATGCATTTGTTTGAAAATAGTTTTCTTAAATATTCATAATGAATGACATTGTGCATTAGAGGCAGATACCATGAATCGTAATTTAGATCTATTATTTACCACCTTTGCTGGTCATGCTTGGAAAACTACTTTGAATTATTTTTCTATCCAATTAAATTTTTTTGCAAGTTCTGTGTTTCTAAAATGCTCCTATTCAGATCATGTTATTATATGTTCGTGTTTAATTAGGTCACCTGCTGCTTTGCTAAGGTCTAATTAGTAAATGATATCTCCATTGTATTTGATTCAGAACAAATGTACTAAAAGGCACTTTGAAAATAAGATTGTCCTTGGTGCTTTGACAGAGCTAGGACTCATAGTTTTCACAAATGACATCCTTTACTTATGCCAGGTGCCTGTTAGCATTTGGTAAACTCTCCACGGTATTGGTGTCTTTTTGTTTCCCATAAACAGGTTTACTGACCCATTTTCACTTTAGCTCAATCTTATCCTTTTTGTGATTTTTTTCCATAACTATAGAGTAAAAAAAATTCACGTACTTGCTCCAAAATGTAATGTAGAAATGCAAACTGAATGTTCCCCTGTAGGGGGTGCAGTCTGTTTTAAACTCTTAATATGTGTAATAAAAGCTATATACCATAGAGGGAACTTTCATGGGCTCCAACCATATTGTTTGGGGCAGACTTTTTGAGTGGTTTGAAAACTTTGTAAATTTGATGTTAGACAATGTTTTTCTCAAGTTATAAAATTTATATAATATTAGGATGAATGCAGTACATTTGTTTTTGTTATGATTTGGGGCATTGTATTAGGGTTCTCTAGAGAAGCAGAACCTATTGTGTGTGTGTGCGTGTGCATGCATGCACACATGTGCACATGCATGTATACGTATATATATGTAGAGGGAGATTATATATGAGTGTGTATATGTATATATATAGAATGTATCTGCATAGAGATATATATATAGATATGAGTATACACATATATATGCCTATATCTCAAGTTATTGTATATATATGTATATACATGAATATGTACATGTGTGTATGTATATGCAGAGAGAGAATGTAAGGAAATGGCTCATGTGATGATGATGGTGGGCAAGTTGGAATTTGTAGGGAAGGCCAGCGGGCTAGAAATTCAAATAAGAGTTGATATTGCAGTCTTGAGTCTGAAGCCTGGAAATGGGCAGAACTTCTCTACCTCGTAGACTGGATGTAGAATTTCTTCTCCCAGGAGCTTCAGTCTTTGCTCTTTAAGTTCTTCAGTTGATTGGGTAACACCTACTCACATTATGGATGGTAATTTGCTTTAATTAAATTCAACTGATTGTAAATGTTAATCATATCTACAAAATACCTTTACAGCAACCTTTAGAGTAAAATTTGACCAAATAATTGAGCACCACAGTCTAGCCAAGTTGACACATAGGATGTACCAACACAGGCATCTTGCATATGTTATTGTCGATGAACCAAATTAAAGACAATGTTAGCTAGCATTTTTACTAATTGGGATTCAGTATTTAGTGCAACTCTGCGGTAATAAAGATGTGAATTATACTGTAGCACTCCAAAAATGAGTGAATGGGTCATGAAACATAAATACCATGAATCATAATTCTTATCAGTTTGGATTTTTTTCCAGAACATTTTTTGGGTCAATCTTCTGCAATGGTATTGTTCTAGTTTGTTCTTTGAAACTCAGCTTTCAAGTTCTGTGTGTGCATTCAATATTGGGCAGTTTTGAATGCATACTTAAAAGAGCAGCCAAAATGTAGATTAGAGAGAGAAGGTCAAACAACTTGTCATTCTGTGCAATTTCTGCAATCCTAAGCCTGTTATAACACAGAGTGTTCCAGGACCTCACACAGATATATGACATGTATTTTCTGGGTTATGGTCTGCCTGTGATTTGCTGTGCCTTCAGCTTGATGTCAAGCTTGCTTTTCCTCTGACCCTCAAGATCCAGTCAGAATCTTCTAGTTGCACTAATCCTCTAATTTTTTTTTGTTGTTGTCACCAAGTTTTTGTCTTCTGTAATACAATTTACACTGTATTTTCTCCCATATCCCTAAAGTGGTTCTTCCTCTTTCCCTGCCCCTTCTTTCCTCTTTCTCTCTGATTTCTCAGTTTGATCCTGATGTGAATAGCATACTACCCTTAGTCTTACACTTTTTTTTTTTACGTTATGTGGCAGACCTGCATCTGTGTTTTTCTTTTTTCAATCCTTAGCATAGTGAATGGAGGTTTGTTGTGTACGTGTGGGGGGAGCGGGGGTGGGGAGGGTGGTGTTTCTTTTTAATTGTTAGAGATCAAGCTCAATCTCTACAAGACTATCCATTAGCTTGGCATCATTTCCTGCCACCAGGGTTGGGAAGGAAATTAGTTTTTGTCCAGAAGACCAGAATACAGCCGGGTGTGGTGGCTCACACCTGTAATCCCAACACTTTGGGAGGCCGAGGTGGGCAAATCATGAGGTCACCAGTTTGAGACCAGCCTGGCCAACATGGTGAAACCCCATCTCTACTAAAAATCCAAAATATTAGCTAGGCATATTGATGGGCGTCTTAATCCCAGCAACTTGGGAGGCTGAGAATCGCTTGAACCTGGGAGGCAGAGGTTGCAGTGAGCTGAGATTGCACCGCTGCACTCCAGCCTGGGCAACAGAGTGAGACTCTGTCTCAAAAAAAAAAAAAAAGGATACAACAGAAATTATTTTCTTAGCTCCAAAGGCCTCTTTGCTGCAGAAGCACAAATTGAAAGAGTGGCTTAGTAATTCACTTACCTCATTAAACAGCCTCCTGGTAAGAATTTGTTTAGATTTTGACAAAAAGGGAGTGTTTTTTTTCAGGGCTCAGTATAGTTCTCAGTTATAGAGAAAAGTAAGAAGAAAAAATGTCATATGCATACAATATTGCATAGCATTCTGTGTCATAAATCAAATTTTATGGGAGAAGGCATCTGTCACATTGTCTCCTCATACCCAGTTGTGTGATTTTGTGTGTGTGTGTGTGTGTGCATATATGTTAATTGAGGCAATTTGTAATATAAAGTTTATTGGATTTTATTTTGATTTCTCCTTTATTAAAGTATTGAGGAAATGACAAAAACAATTTATTTGCTTTTTTTTTTGGCAAGCTCTGCTTTTTAAACTGTTTATTTTTACAGATGTATTTCATCAGTTCTTAAGAATGAAGCTAGGAATATTTGCTGGCTTCTCAGCTAGTACACCCAGAAATGGAAAAAAAAATCTGTTTTCTTAAAATATGATACTGGGGAGGAGGTAGGGAAACTTTTCATTTTTGTGAACTACTGGATTTTTAAAAAAATTTAATGTATTTTTAATATTGCTGTTTAATGTACTCCTTATCTTAATTCATATTACTTTCTGATTCTTGGTTGTTATACTTATTATTTTATAGTTCATAATTTTAATGCAAAGGGGATAAAATTGCATGTTTTATTTTCTCTAGAAAATTTGAACATACTGTTCATACCATCTTAGAATTATTTCTTATCATTCAGAGAGCCTCCTCCAAAGGTTAGTCTTCAAGAATCTTGACACTTAATAATCAATTGTGACCCTTTGATGAGTCAACAGTACACTTGTTCTTTTTTTTTTGAGACAGAATCTTGCTCTGTCACCCAGGCTGGAGTGCAATGGCGTGATCTCGGTTCACTGCAACCTCTGCCTCCCGGGTTCGAGTTATTTTCCTGCTTCAGCCTCCCAAGTTCCTGGGACTACAGGCACGTGCTACCATGCCTGGCTAATTTTTTGTATTTTTAGTAGAGATGGGGTTTCACCGTGTTAGCCAGGATGGTCTCGATCTCCTGACCTTGTGATCTGCCCCCCTTGGCCTTACAAAGTGCTGGGATTACAGGCGTGAGTCACTGCACAGGGCTAACAAGTGCACTTCTTATAAGGTATGTCTTATATAATTTAAATAGTCATATTAAGGCATTGTTTGGATGAATTTTCTTTGGACCAGACCAGAATAAGTTAAGTGAGAAAATGACCTGGAATGGTTCACTCCTTCATCTGGCAAACATTTATTAAGCCTCTCAGTTGTAACAGGCATTGACACTGTCCTATCTCTTCAGAAATTGACAGTTCAGTTTGAGACAAAATATGAAAACATTTACAATTCAGTATAGAGACTGTTTAAAAAAAAAAAAGCGTTCCTTTTCCTGAGTGCGTCCCATCATTTCTGGCTATCTTCACTCTATTCCTGCCACATTGAGCTGTGAAGTTGGGGAATAAAGCAGAAGCAAGGATACAAAAAACATTAGTTTGCAATCAATTTCTTGATTTGATTTTGGGATCA